AGCGTGAGAAGGCATGGAAGCTGGCAGCATACATCCTCGCATTCTCCGCGGTTGTAGGGCCAATATGTAGCTTGCTGTACATGGTGTCGTATCTCAAGAAATCGACCAGCCTGATGGAGATACTTTGGGCATTCTCGATTGTGTTGGAGTCGATGTGCGTTGTACCACAGCTTCTGCTGCTACGACAGACGCAGGTACCGACTGTCATCAATTCCGGGTACTTGGTGTGTTTGGGCGCTTACAGAGCACTCTACATCCTCAATTGGATATGGAGGTCGGCGCACGATGATTTGCCAGATGCTATATCAGTCATCTTTGGTATCATCCAGACTGCGCTCTACATTGATTTTGCTTGGGTCTACTACACAAGACAGCGCGTGAAACTGAGGGGAGGGGCAGTGGTGGATTCAGATGATCTGAACAAGGGCTTCCTTGTCAACAGATTTGCAAGAGTGCGTCAATCGGAGGATGGAGACATAGAAACTGCTAGCGATGGAGAGCAGCAGAGTAGACCCAGGGTCGACAACTGGGGTAGGAGAGGGGTTTCCATCAGGGCAGACGATACATTAGAGAGTCATGATCGTGTCCAGGGGAGGTCTGGTGCAGGGTCAAGCGCAGAGACTGAGCCATTGACTGACCCGGATCACTTCTTGTCGGACGATGAGCACGATGATGCGCCTGCCATTGATGCTTCAGCGCTGTCGCCGAAATGAGGACAGAGGCACTATTTCTTCCGGCTCACAAGGACAGTCGTATCTAAGAGTCAATGAATTCAACAGCAGTGTTTGATGTTCTTCATAGGGCAGTGTCTGAAAACTTGAGATCGTTCAGTTCTAGTCTCCTTAGCTATGCATCTTGTGTCAGCAGATGGCGCTGCCGTCTCCCTGAGCGCTAACTCGAGAGTCTAGCAAGCCAATATCCTGGCACAGAATGACGTTCCCGATACTGCATGAGATTCAATAGTCGAAGATGTTCTCGCCGGGACGCTCGAGATTTCCGCCGACCTGGACATAGTATATTGACTGTTTCCGTGCATGGTGACTCGGCGCTCATCCACAACCCAAACCGAGCTTCTCAACTGCTCTCGCCACATTGCGTATCATGGCCTTAAGCGACCTTACAAGTCATAACGTGATTACCAGCAACATCAAGCTGTCGTGATATTGCTAGCCTGCTTTCCCTTCTGACCCTCTTTGATCTCAAACTGTACGTGTCACTTGGGCTCGTGCATATCGATAACGCCGTTATAACTTACGTTGACTTTTGCGCCTTCCTGTAGAGTCTTGAATCCTTGGCCTTGGACCTCGGAGAAGTGAGCGAACAACTATATGAGGTCAGCACTAAACGTTGATGAGAGGGATGATCGGGAGGATGTATAGACGTACATCCGGGCTACCATCGTCTGGTGTGATGAAGCCGAAGCCCTTTTGGTCGTTGAACCACTACGCACACCCATCAGCTAACTTGCTACGCTGAATGTGCAATTGATCGTGTCAAATATACCTTTACTGTTCCGGAAGGCATGATTGTAGATTTGTGAGGTTTTTGGGAGAGTATTCTTGTATGAGAGTCTGAATAGTGTAACTTTTCAGGGATCTTATGATATCTTTTGTTTGAACAAACAGCAAGCAGGGACTATTTGGTTGAAAATTCGTGTATATTTGCACCATTTGCGACAGCAAACCGTCGTCATAGTTCACTTCGCCCTCTTTCCACCGTAGTGAGGACCATCACCTCTTTCAACCCCTCTATTGTCGATTACAAGCTAGCTAGAAGTGAGTATTCGGTAGTTTCGGTTGGCTGAGGACTTTAGAGTTTCCTCAGATCGATACCTTTCCCGATTTGGAATAGTCAATCACTAAATCCCCATGATGAGATGACTTCCTGCTCGACCCGGACACTGATGGTCTTCATTGTATGACATTCTGCATTTAACTAATACTCACGAGCTTATCCGTGTCCTATGATTCTCTTAGACTCTAGTTCTAGCAGTGCTTCTCGTCGGACAAGAACCATAAGAAGCTCTTCCGGACTACGAAGTGGTACTAAGAGCTTCATAGCACCTACGGCATGCTCAAACAACCACAAACACATCTACGGCTATCATCACTCCTCAACCACTTCACATCGCGTCCTCGAGCCCTTATCAACGCAGTCACTCCCTCGATAACAAGAACGATCTCAACCACCCCCAAGATGTCCTCCCCACTAACCCTAACCTCCACTGTCAAACTCCCCTCAGGCCACATCATGCCCACCCTCGGCTACGGCGTCTACCAAACACCCAAAGACGTCTGTGAATCCGTCTGCTCGCACGCCCTCAAAACAGGATACCGCCACATCGACTCAGCGCGCGTCTACCGCAACGAGGGCCCCTGTGCAGCCGCAATCGAATCCTCAGGCCTGAAGCGCGAGCAGATCTTCTTCACGAGTAAGATCGGTCCGAGGGATATGGGGTATGAGAAGGCCAAGAAGGCTATTGATGCGTCTTTTGCTGAGACGGGGCTGCAGTACTTCGATCTATTCCTCATTCATGCGCCGTATGGTGGGAGGGACGCTAGATGTGGGACTTGGAAGGCGCTTGTTGAGGCGCAGAGCGAGGGAAGGATCAGAAGTATTGGGGTCTCGAATTACGGTGTCCATCATCTGGATGAGTTGAAGGAGTTTATGGCGAGTTCGGGGGTTGGAGGCACGATTAGTGTGGGTCAATGGGAGATACATCCTTGGCTGCCACGGGCGGATATTGTGAAGTGGGCGAGGGATAATGGTGTAGTGGTTCAAGCATGGAGTCCGCTTGTGAGGGCTGAGAGGCCGAACGAGAGTGTGCTTGGAGAGATCAGCAAGAAGCACGGCAAGACGTGGGCGCAGGTGTTGATCAGGTGGAGCTTGCAGAACGGGTTCGTGCCTTTGCCGAAGAGTGTCACGCCATCGAGGATTGAGGAGAATGCTGATGTTTATGATTTTGAGCTTGATGACGAGGATATGGAGATGTTGCATTTTCCGGGTTCGTATGCGCCTTGCAGTTGGGATCCGACTGTTGCCGGACTTGAGGATTGAGGGGGAAGACCTGGCACGGTACTATGATGTGATGGGAAGATGATTTGATGCTAGCAATGCTCAACACAGAGCTCATGGCTCTTCACTTATTCCTCACACCCCTCTCCACGCAGTGTCATATGCCCGACAGTCCCACAACCGCTTCAGATTATTTGCGTTTGGTGCCGAGATGCGTTTAGCATCCTCATCTTCGACAAGGTCCCACTCCTCCTCAGCATCAGCCTTCGATTTTCTCGTTTCGATCTTCTCGTCGACTAGGTCGGGAACCGCGGCTCGAATACTAGGGCTCATATCCGCTTCACTACCGTCCTCGGTGAGTCGCTCACGGATCGCATTGAGAACAGCAAGTTGCTCGTTACCCTCGATTACACTGACACCTAGACGCATCGACTCCTGCTCTCGCAGCCTGTCATATGTGGCCTGAATTGCGAGAGCAGGGGCCTCCTCAGTGGGACCTTTCTGGCGCAATTGACTCCAAGGGCTTTGATGCTCGATAGGCTGAGCCAGCACGTCGAACTCATCATTGTCCACGAACGCCCAGTCAATCGGCCTCGCAGACTCAGCTGGATTCGGCCAGGCTTCGTTGTACGTCTCGATGGATCTGCTCTCCTTGACGCTGAGCAGCCTCTCGGCCTGCCGCGGGGTCTCTTCGCCAGTGACTGCGGACGGTCTCTGAAGCAGCGGCTCAGGGCCGGATCCTTGGGCTGTGTGCTTCTTACTAGCCTTCGCTGACCTCACTCGGTCGAATGCATCGAGCATTTCTCCAACCATACCCGAGCTCAGCCCTTGACGACCAGACCCACCTCTGAGAGTAGGCCTGGCTTGCCCCTCCCGGTTCCTTCCGCCTCGATGAGATGACTCCAGCGATACGCCGCCGTTCCACTCGCTATCCGTCTTTGACTCAGCGTAACGAGATTTTCTGCTGGTCCCGCTCGAATCAGACTCATCAGTCGCTCTCTCCTTGCCTTTCTCCCTCTGAAGCTCCATAGCCGACCTCGACCTCGCTTCCTCAACCACTAATGTCCTCTTCGCACCTGCTCGACCACCAGCATCTCTACGAGCCGCGTGCTTCTGATCCAGGAACACCCTCTTCCACCCCTCACTTACATCCCAACCTCCATCCCGAAACAACAAAACCTCCCTCCTAACCCCATCAACAACCACCCATCCCCTCCCGACAACACGTCGCTCACTCTCATCGACTTGTTCTCCCCGACCCTCCATCTCCGTCCGACTCATCTCAGCCATACCGCCCCTCTCGTCCTTACGCACAGCTAAAACACCACTTCTATACTCCTCCGACCTAATACCACGGAACTCAGGATTGCGCCTTCGTTCCGCGTCTGTATGTGTGCTGGAATGAGACGCACGATGCAGTTTCCGTCTGATTGGCTTGTAGACTTTGCGGCGGATGAAGCGGAGGATGTGGGAGGGCATGCTTTATGTTATGAAAGATGTATTCGTCATTATGAATGGGGAAGAGGGGGTGTGCGCATTTTGTGCGTGTTGGCTTGGGGTGATGGGGTTGGTGGTGATGTGGTGTGGGGCTTGGGCGGTGGCATTGCTGTTCGTGACGAACACGGTAGGCGTTCAGGGACAATCGGGGATGTTGGTGTCGTTGTTCGTGATGGGTAACGCGTTGGAGGAAAAACAAACGTGCTGCGTTGGACATGGTGTTGGCGAGAGTCGTTACGTTGATTGATTGCGATGATCGTTGGTAAGTCAACGGCGGAACAGCACATGAGGTGACAGCAAGCGATTGATGTGAACCTTCACCCGATCCACCTTCTATGGAAACGCCCACTGTGGCGCACCATTTCATCAAAAGGTACGTACGTATGTACTTATACCCCAGGACCAAAATTTGTCACCGTTAATCTGTCGGGCCCAGTAGCTGCGGCCGCGCTACGGTCAGACAGATTACTGGGCCCGACAGATTAACACCTCAGGTGGTCTAGTGGTTTATGACGTTTCATCAGCAGTCTCGAAAGAGCCTGGTGAAGAGATCGGCGGTTCGAATCCGTCCTTGGGGACAATTTTCTTTTTGTGTTTGGGTGTGTCGATGGTTTTTGTGCGCGTTGTAGGCAGGCAGGGCAAGTGCGAAGGATAGGGATCCACCTTCACTTCTGGATAGGCTGGCACATGACTGCACGCCCGATCACGATCTGAGAAAGTGCGCCTGCCCAAAACTTGAGCAACAATGAATGAAAAGAAACCAATTGTGCTATTCGAGCTCAAATCCATGCTCATCAGGATCAATACAGGTACCTAGCATTCATCATGCATGGCACATGATACCACGAGCACCAAATGAAGCAGGACTTCTCAGCACCCTTTCGAAACCCCAACTGCCAGGTCTTTAGCCAAGATCCCATCTCAGCATCTTGAATCAAAACGGCGGATCCCTCCACATCTGCTCAACCTCAAACTCACTCGCCGCAACCATCTGACCCGCTTGAAACCCAAGTTCCTCGCCAAAATCGTTCATGACACGCAGCATACTCACAAACCGCTGTCCACCATGCGGTGGCTGAGCCCTTTGTGCCAACTGCGGATCCTGCTCCCTCACGTCCTTCATATTCGGAAACTCCTTGTACGAAGTTGGACCGTAGCTCAATTTGGTGCCGTGGCCGGCGCCAGTGCGGCTGAGAGGTGGTCGGGGTTGCGTCATGGTAGCAGTTGTTCCTGACCAAACCGGCGGCAGTGATGAGAAAAGCGCAGGGTCATCGATACTGCTGTCGGAGAGCATCTTGTTATGTGCCGTAGCTGGCTTTCCACTTTCAACCTTCATCGTGTCCCTGATATACCGAGCTGTAACCTTATACAGCGTTCGTTTCGTCTTCATGTCAGACGCTTGGGCAACGATCTGGCCGATGCGGAAAGGAGCAGCGGAGATAAGCTGGGATTCCGTGAGTGTGAAGTCTGTTTCTGCTGGGCGGGCGAGCTCAAGGGTGTATTCATGGGGCGTTTGGTCTGAGGTTGACTCCTTAACTGCTTTGACTTGGTGCAGAGTGGTTGGCGCGAGTGTGAGGCCTGTTGAGAAGGGTTCGGGCTGGGTGACTGGTGGTCGTTGCTTTGACTTGAGCATGGTGTTTGAAGTTGATGATGACTGTGAGGACGAGCGGACGTGTGAGCTGCCATAGCTGGAGGGGTTTGTTTGTGCGGGATGGGTTGAGCCCTGTGAATCGGGTACCGGGGTAGGAGAGGCGTGAACGAAGTCATCAGCCTGGTATCGTGGCTTTCGTGGCTGTCCTTGAAACATCTTAATCTGTCACTTCGTCTTAGGGGATAATACCTGTGCAAAAGCTGGCGAAATAATGCGATAGAACGATTCTTGGAAGAGGATGCATATTCAGTAGCTCGGGGCGCTGACAGCAATCAGTCATAGCAAGGCAAATCTGTAGAAACCAAACAATGATTCCGACCAAGTGACAATCGTAGATCTGGCAATGGGTAATTGCTTTGTTGACATAGTCTGCATTTTATTGAAGCAGACGGTGATCGACAAACGCTTTATTAGCGCTGAAATTGATTTTGATCTGTACACATCAGAAATAAGCTTAAGAGACACCGCCGGGTAGTTTCAGATGCTCTATATCCTTCTCCTGAATCAGTTCGCCTCTTTCCTTAAGCTTCGACTCCCACCATTCATCGTGAATGTCCTTCCTTTTGAGCGCCTCGCAAACCACTTTCTTGCATAATGCAAACCTCGGACTGATTGGACATCCTCCTGGGAAAGAACGACAGTGCTACTCCTTCTTCTCCGCTGCCCCATCAGCCATTGATGGACCATTACCATTGGCGGTAGGTGCCTCTGCCTCTTTTTCCACATCACGATTGGCGTTGCTGACGTTTGTCCTTTGACGTGTCGTGCTAGGTCCTGTGTGCGCTCGTGACCTCGAAGCTGCGAGTGCAACGAAAGAGTGCTCGTCGTCATCGTCACTGCCGCTCGTCTCCTCTTCTTGGGGCTTGCTCTTCATGGTGGGAGCAAACTTGGACTTCTCCCTGAGTTTTCGACCGTAGAGGTAGAAGAGAACTGGTATTGGAACGAGCAGAGCGGAGAAGCCGCCGAGCAGAGTGCCTGCGTACTGAATACCCAAGCCATTGAACATTTGTCGTGCGAAAAGCGGGAAGCCAGCTGCTGCAATTGATCGAAGGAAAGTGTTGCCTGCGATTACCGAAGCAGCAAACATGAGGTATGTGTCGACGAGGTAGTTGAAGCAGCAGATGAAGATTGCGAGCAGACCGAAGCCGGTGAACAGACCAGATAAAGTCGGGACTATCCAGTGGATGGATTTAGTGTAGCCTGTCCAGCCGAACCAGAAGAGACCAAGTGAGAACAGAACGCCACCAATGATGACCGGCGGCAGACGCCATTCAGGAATGGGAATGCCACCATTCGCGGCTAGCTTCTTGTTGTAGTTTCTTGAGTCCCAGACAATGTAGCTAGCCACCAAAACAATTCCAACCATCATGCCGAAGAATGGCAGACCGCCAACGCCAGCGTTCATACCATGGACTCCTTGAAACACTAGTGGGTAAGCTGTAAGGAAAAGGTAGAGAAGGCCGTAGATGAAGGACATATAGACTGTCAAAGCGAGAACGACTGGCTCAGTGAAAAGAAGACGAAGGGGACGACTCAAGTTCTTCGTGACAAGTTCTTTGAGATCAACTTCGACTTCCTCCTGCTTTGCATGAATACCCCAATTTCTGGTCCGCCTTCGAAGTTCTGCAGCTTTGCTGACCAGGACAATCGGCGGATACGATTCTGTAAGTAAGAACACATTCAGGATGGTTGCGAGTGCGCCCATCAAGCCTGGTAGGTATATATTCCATCTCCAGCCAGCGCCTGAAAGTTGAATGAAGCCTCCAATAAATGGAGCCAACATGGGACCCAGGAAAACGGTAGCCGAGAAGACAACGATCGCGGGACCTCGTTGAGTATTGTCGAATATGTCTGAGAAAGCAGCTGCGACAACAGCCAACGGACACGAACCAAAGACACCAGTGAAGAAGCGGCAGATGTAGAAGGTCTGCAAGTTGAATGCTGTGGCCGTACCGAAGTTGAAGACGGTAAAGCCGAACATGCCAATGACGATGGGCAGTTTCCGGCCTTTCAACTCAGAGAAAGGCCCCCAAACAAGCGGACCGAAGGCATAGCCAAGCACATACAGAGACGTGCCAAGTGTAGCAACTTCTACACTGATACCCCAATACGACGCGAATGCTCTCGTCGAAGCGGAGAATAGCGAAGAAGTGAAGGTGGAACAGAGGGAGGTATAGGCTAGAATGACAGCCATGGCTATCTTCTTCTTAAAGGTCCAGTTTTGAGGATGTAACGGATCGTCGGGACCATCATATTCGACAACGTAGTCTTCGTACGGAGGTAAATCTGGAGGATATGCCTTTCCACCACCAAAGTTCGGCAGCGGCTTATCGTACGACCTAGTCCTTGTACCACCAACCGTCGCAACCTGCTGTAACCTGTGTGTTTCGGTCCGGTGATCTTCGAGTGGATGCGTTCTTGTTCTTGTTGCCCTTGTGTCGATCCTACCGGCACTTGCAGCTGTGGCTATCCTGCTCATTCCCGCACTCGATTCTGAAGAAGAGGAGGAGACGGTCGACAGTCTCGATTCGTTGGTGCCTCTTCGAACGTTTTTCGATTTGCGCGTTATCGGTTCGTGGGTTACCGGTTTGTAGACTCTCGATGCCTCCCTCTCGGCTTCCACCATGTCTCTATCCACCACGTTCATTCTCTCTATGTTTGCGGCATTTCGTGGATCGTAAGACATCCTAGAGGCGTCGAACCTTGGGTTCGAGGGACTTCCAGACACAAGATGTGTTTCTGCGGATATGCTGGGATCGTTATATGTCAAACAGCAACGCTGCTTCGTAGCAAGTCCTGCTGTGCTGGTCCTTATACCAGGCAAAGGTTCAAATATGAGAGTGAAGCATAATATCGCTATGTGAGCCGAAGAGATACCTAGAGTAGAATTGGTCAATGAAGCATGAGACTATACAAGTACGAGCGTATGGACTACTGAGGTATTATGCGGGTTGAACGGCTCATTTTTGCTTTGTTGAATCTGAATCCTACTCAATTTACTGCGATGATGATATAGCATACGCACTCACTACTTCGGAAGCTGCGACGCCCGCAAAGGCATGGCAAAAGCGCAAGCTCATCTCTTAGTCAGACGTCAACTTAGTGGATGTTTCGGCTATCCTCAACAGATGACATACACGAGCCAATAGGCGAACAGTAAAAACATTAGCCAGGTTTGGGGCCAGCTGTGGCGGCATTAAAGCGTTGACAAGCTTTAGTTTGCTTCTTCTCACCTGTGGCTTGCAGCTGATACTGGTCAATTGACACAGGGGTACGAGGACACCAAGCTCATATGGGTTATGGGGAGGGCACGGAGGATGCACAGTGTCCAGGGTGTTGTGATGATTCAGCAGTCTCGATCACCACTAGCTTAGAGTCGTCCTAATATGAAGGACATTCTTGACAATCACCGCAGAACGTACACTCGGCGAAACGATAACACCTGTTGTTAGAGCGGCAGCGCAATGATGGAATACTACAGACCATCAATACACGCACACCCTGCGCGGACTGGCGCTTTGTCCTTACAGGCGCCTTGAGGTTCTCCTCAATTCACCTTGATGCAGAGAGCTGCCCTCAAGGTCATGGTCACACGCGAAACTGATCTTCTTCATACAGCAACAAGCGGGATGCTGTAGGCAGATCTACGGTATGCTCAAAGGTTCGACGAACCTGCTGGGGTCTCGTCTCAAGCAGTAGCTACGACAGACGACTTGGACCGCGTCGTGATCAAGGCGTGTGGTGAATTCAACGGAGCAAGAGCAAGTGACCAGAACCTGCCAGACTATGAAAGTGAATTCACCGATGCCTTTGCACTGTCCAGGCAGCCGTAATCAACTTATATTATCGTCGCTTGTTAAGAGATGTTAATCACCCAGAAAAGCGCAAAAGATAGTTTCGGGCTGTTGAGCGACTGTCACACTGGAT